TTGTGTTGAGGCCTTGGCCTTTGTAAGCCGCATCGAGTCCTTCGGAAGATGCTAGCGGGGTACAAATAAAGTATAATAATAATAATAATAATAATAATTCTAGTAAAGTGCTTATGGGGCTTAGTCTTGGAAGGCGCATCGGAACAGCCAGGTCTTCAGGTTCTTTCTGGAGACAAGCAATGTAGGCGCCTGTCTAAGATCTTTGGGGAGGGTGTTCCAGAGTCGGGGGGCCACCACGGAAAAGGCCCTGTCCCGCGTCCCCACCAAGCGCGCTTGCAACACAGGCGGGATCACGAGCAGGGCCTCTCCAGATGACCGAAGTGAACGCGTGGGTTCGTAGATGGAAATGCAGTCACGCAGATAGGCTGGTCCCAAAGCGTTCAGGGCTTTGTAGGTAAGCACCTGCACCTTAAATTGGGCTCGGAATATAAATGTAGAAAACATTTATGACTGCAAGCCTGCCAAGTTTCAAATCATTTTGCTAATCCACTGATTTTTGGGAACCAGGCCTGTGATTGGCTGGGTAACATGATGCAACTGGCTACATTCAGGAACATTTGGGGTGGGTGGGCCATTTCTCCATCAAGGGTATCAGGATGAAACTTGCCACACTTGTAGGATGCAGTTATGACTGCAAGTTTGCAAAGTTTCAAATCATTTTGCTAATCCACTGATTTTGGGGAAATTTTAAAGTTTTTACCAATGATATTTTTAAAAACCACCAGAGGATGGGCAGAGCCTGTGATTGGCTGAGAAATGCGATGCAGCAAGTGTGGCTGTACTCACTGCTCGGCCCTATCGCCACCACCACGGAGAGATTGCCGCTTGCGCTTGCAAAACAAACAAATGGTCAAAATATTAATTATGAAAAAAATAAGCTAAAATCGATTTAGCCGAAAGATTCGGTGGCTCATGTTTCATTCCAGTAAGACTTTGGAGGAGGTCCTTCCCAGTGAGTATTCGGTGGTTCATCTGCTGAATCATCCAAATTATCTGAAATCTGAATCAAGCAATGGGATTTCACACACACTTACTAAACATGAAGAACTTCCTGAGAGTAAGAGCTGCTCCAAGTGGAATCTGCTACTGCCTTGGAGTCTGGTGAATGCCATTATTATCATTATCATTTCTTATTTATATTCAAGGCGGCCATGGGTTTCTCATTCACAAGTTTTCTGTGAGAACCCACTGGGCTGTTGAGCCTTCCGTGCTTCAGCCAGAACCATCAGGATCTTCTTGTGAGGATGTATTAAAACAGCATTAGCTTTCCATTTCAATGATTTCTGCAAACAGCAGCATTTTCAATTTTTTTGGCAGTTTTCATGTGATTTTCAGAAATGCTAAATCCAGGAACAGATTGCGCAGCTGATGGCGCGTGATGAGTATCTTCTGCTTTTTGGAGGAGAGGAACGAAATGGAGGCAGTGAATGCATCCCTTGTCTCAAGGCCTTCTGGTGCCGAGATGTGCCAAACAGTATTATCCGGCAACTCCCATGACTAGCACCGAGCCGGCACGATGTCCTGGTTTAACCCTTGGGCTCGCTAGTAGGCCTGTGCGGTTTCGTTCGTTAATTCGTTAATTCGTTATTAATTCGTTATTTTTGGCATTTCCGAAGCGATATTAAAACATATTTCCAAACCCGGAAGGGTTTTTAAATATCGAACCAGCAACCCCCATAGATTTAACGAGCCTCCGCTCGTTTCGTTAATGGGGTGGAGGCTGCTGGAGTGCTGGTGCCTGGGAGCCAATCCGGCGCTCCCAAGCAGTGCACCATGGGTCCGTGGCTGTCTCTTTTTGATTGGCCGGCGAGCCCTTTCAAAGCGGCTCCGTGCGGCCCGTAGCTTCAAGAGGGCGAGGGAGTTTGCATTGGGTTGGCTTGGCAATGGCTGCCTGCTAGCAACTGGGATTGGATTCATTCCTTGCTGCTGTGAGTGCTGCTTGCTTCATTTTCTGTCTCCTGCCTGTGTTTGGTCCACATTTGGGCCATTTTTTGGTTAATTGTCCATTTTAAAATATTTTTAATATTATTTTTTAATATTATTTGTTAAT